GAAAGGTTAAGCAGGGAGGCCCAGAGGAGGGACACCTGACCCGCCACCTGCTCTGAGCGAGGTCAGTGAATCAAGCTGTGGTCACTTCCTACCACTGGCTGTTAGAGGCCGTGCTTGTGAGCCAGGAGGACTCCCGGTTGGATGGGAGTGTCTTCTTTCCCCATCCAGTTCAGGGCCCTCCTCCCTGGAAATCTGTGGGGGCCACCATGCATACCCGCTGCCTTCAGTTTGTCAAATGCGTTCACAGTCACTGCTTACTGGGTCCCCCCGCAGTTGGAGAGGTAGGTGAAGACCAGCAGACCCACTCGATAGGTGAGGCAGAGGGGCTCCGAGAGGGAAGTGGGCCTGGCCAAGGCTACGCGGGTACTCGAGAGCAGGGCCAGGGATAACCCAGAAGCCACCAGGCCATCAGGGGCGGGGTGGCTGTGACCAGGCCATCAGGGGCGGGGTGGCTGTGACCAGGGCCAGTCACTTAGCTCTGAGCTCAGTCATCTCATCTGAAAAATGAGAATGGGACCAGCAGGTGGAATGGTGGCTGAGGCGCTGGACTCCCACATGGCGGACCTTGGTTCGAGTCCTGGACCTGGCAACTTGCTTTCTCTCTCTTTCTTTCTATCTCTCATCTGGTGAGTACATAAGTCCCATAGCAAATTAAATAATAATAAATAAAATTAAAATGAATACTTAAAAAAAGAAAAGAAAAATGAGAATACTAATAATGCCTATTTTGTTAAGTTATTCCGGAGGTTAGATGAGATTATGCCTTAAAATGCATTTAACGTGGCAGTGGGTTAAGATCTGCTGATAAACGTGAGCAAGGACTGTGACTATTATCTGAAGGATTCCTGACGCTGTTCTCAGCAGGCTGCGTCCTGAAGAAGCCTTTGTGCCTCTAGACTGCCATCCTGAGGTGAGCCAGGGCCTGGGCATGAAGGAACAGGGGCTCTCCCTGGCTGCCTACCTGGTGGAGGTGATCAGGGGCCTGTTGGGGCACAGCAGAGACTGCCCTGCATTCTTACGGGGATCTCTGGTCTGCTCAGGGCCAAGGCAGGGGCTGGCTGAGGTTCTGCCCAGTCTTTGATCCTTAGAGGAGCAGGCTGAGAATGGGAGCTGAAAGGACAGGGGTGCTCCAGGCTTTCCAAACCTGCCCTGCCCAGCACCATCTGACCTTCCAGGCTCTGTGGAAGCCCAGCTTCCCAGCCTGGAGGCATGCCCACAGGAGACCCTCAGGGGAAGTGACTCCACCAGGTGCTCAGGCCTGGGGTGCACTCCCACCTAATCTACATACTCCCAGACACGCCCTCCAGAGAAGGGGAGAGGTGGTTCCTGCCTCTGGGACCCAGGAGGTGAGTGGGCACCTCTGAGTCTATGGTGAGCTCTGTGAAAGCTGCAGGGTCTGCAGGGCCAGATCCTTAGCATTTTGGAGTTTTATTATGACTGCATTGGTTTAAATATATATATATGTATATATACCCTGCATTCTTACGGGGATCTCTGGTCTGCTCAGGGCCAAGGCAGGGGCTGGCTGAGGTTCTGCCCAGTCTTTGATCCTTAGAGGAGCAGGCTGAGAATGGGAGCTGAAAGGACAGGGGTGCTCCAGGCTTTCCAAACCTGCCCTGCCCAGCACCATCTGACCTTCCAGGCTCTGTGGAAGCCCAGCTTCCCAGCCTGGAGGCATGCCCACAGGAGACCCTCAGGGGAAGTGACTCCACCAGGTGCTCAGGCCTGGGGTGCACTCCCACCTAATCTACATACTCCCAGACACGCCCTCCAGAGAAGGGGAGAGGTGGTTCCTGCCTCTGGGACCCAGGAGGTGAGTGGGCACCTCTGAGTCTATGGTGAGCTCTGTGAAAGCTGCAGGGTCTGCAGGGCCAGATCCTTAGCATTTTGGAGTTTTATTATGACTGCATTGGTTTAAATATATATATATGTATATATATATATTTATAGCTCTATGCCCCGCCCTCGCCCCCCTGGCCCCTAGTTCTTGCCCCTGGCCTTCTGTCTGGTGGCCGTGTAGGGCAGCACCGTCTGTGTGCTCTTGTCCGACACCGTCTGGGTACTGCTGTTCCTTGTGACCCTTCGGGTCTGTTCGGTGGCCAAGGAAGGGCCTGAGCGGCCGCTGGTCAGTGGAGAGCGCCTTGGCTTGTAGGGGGCTAGGGAGGGCTTGAGGGAGCCCGCTTGGGCCTCTGCAGGGGCAGGCTCGGGGGGCAGGCCCGCCTCCTCCTCCTCCGCTTCCCCCTCGCTGTCCCCCTCCTCGTCGTCACAGCACAGAGCATGGTAGAGCACTTTGTCACTGAAGCGCACCCTCTCCCGCGTCCCTGGGGTCCGCTGGGGCAGCTGGCCCTTCGTGGGGCCTGCGCCGAAGGCCTCCTCGCTGGAGGAGTCCGGGGTCTCCACTCGGGGCCCGTTGGGGATGGGTGTGCCACCGTTCATGAGCCGGTAGTCAGGACCTGCCCCCGGCCGTGTGGACTCAGGGCCGTCCAGGGAGTCCGAGGGGGTGGAGATGTCCAGGAAGGAGCAGAACTCCCAGCTGTCCGAGAGGATGTCAGCCGTCACGAGGTCCAGGTGGCCAAGGTCGAAGGGGCCGCCCACGCCTGCCTTGTCACTACTGGAGGTGCTGCTCACAGTGGCCGTGGTCCAGTCGTCCGGCTCCAGCTCAAAGTCGAAGTCCGAGGTCAGCTTGTCGATCTGGCTCACCACCTGGCCAGGGGAGGGGAGCAGGGGTGAGAGCGGCCAAGTGGGGCCCAGAGCACTGGGTGTGACCCGCTGCTCAGGAGCCCATGGGACAGTGACTGGACTGGGGGTCACAGGTTATTTGTCCTGTTGAGGGCCCACAGCAGACCAGGGTGGACAGAACTCGCTCTGGCCACTCTCAAAGGCATGTGCACCACACCTCAGCCTCTTGGGGGGTACTGCTTTGCTCCCCTGTACCCCATTTACACACACCTGCTCTCCTAGGGCAACCCTGGGGACCAGGGCTTGATCTTCCTTGGGTTGGGAGGGGGCCGCCCACCCATGCTCAGAGAGGAGCTGGAAGGTGCCCATGGGGAAACTGTCCAACAGTCCCTCAGCCGGGCAGCAGCTATCCCCCCGGGTGTCCAGCAGCCCTGTGGGGAGGCACATACGTGCAGCACTGGCCGGATGCCCCCTTCCTCCACCCAGCCCTCCGTCCCTGCCCACTGATGAGCAGAGCTCACTTGCGCTGGTCGGGCGAAGGGCTGAACAAGCGTTATTTGGTGAGCAGTAACAAGACCAACGTCCCAGGCTCAGCGCTGCTTGTTCAACACACTCGGAGACAGCCCAGCTGTGGAGGTCGCCGCACCCTGCCCTGCCCCATGTAAAGTGACACCTCGGCCTCCACGCAGGCGGCCCTGCACCAGACACCCCCTTACCTGGTCAGCACATAAATCAAGGATGGTGAGGGAAAGGGGAAAGGGGATGGTGAGGGGTCCGGCCAGAGAGTGGGAGAGGATCGGGGAGAGAGGGAGAGAGATGAAGCCACAAACGAGACAGCCAAGCAATGGATTGCAGCGGAGGGGCTATGAGGCAGAGGGAGAGACCCCGAGACAGACTCCTCCAGCACCTTCCCGGCATCCTCTGCTTGGGGTCAGAGCGGCCAATTAATTAGTTAATTAAGTCCTGAATTTAGCCGGCATTGACTGAGAGTCACAGCTCTCCGGGGATGTGCTGGGGTCTGGCAAAGGAGCGGGGACAGCATCCCAAAGTGAAAGAGGACAGCAAGGCCGAGGTGACATCAGGAGTGGCTTAGGCCAGCGGGGAGGTCACTAGGGCCAGAGTCGGGGGTGGGAGGCCAGTGACCTGGCCAGATATTCTCCCTTTCTCGGTCTGTTTCTCAGCCCATCAGTGGGGAGGTTGGGTGACCGCCTTATCTCCGAGATCCCTTCCCTCTCTGAGATCTAGGACTCTTTACAGGGGTGAGTCTAGATGCTGTGCGGTGCTGACAGCTGGGTATTCCTGCTCACCACAGTCCCAGGCTGGGAGCCGAGGAACCAGGTGGCCGAGGCTGCAGCAGAGCTCAGGAAGTCAGGGCACCGGGGTCTGGACTTAGCTTAGGGATTGCTGTGTGTCTTTGGACACGTCACATAACCTCTCTGGATCTCAACTGCCATCACTGCCAAGAGGGTACGGGGACCCCACCCTGGCAGCCTCACCAGAGCTCATGAGCAACATTGGGAAGGGCAGGGAAGGCCCTGGGAGCTCTGGGGATAAAGGTGGCATCGGCCTCCACTAAGCACCTACTGTGTGGCAGGTTTTCCACCCATGAGACATTACCTCCCCAGTTTAGAGAGAGGAGCTTAGAGTGCTAGATCCTCACCTCCACAGCTCCCAGCAAAACTGTCCACGACCTGCTCGGGCAGGCAGCAGGGACACCCACCTGGTCAGCCTTTCAGCGCCTGCCTCCCCAGGACGACTCCCTCCACCTCAAAGCTCACCCACAGAAGCCCCTGGTTCAATCCGAGCTTTGCTGAAGGCTGGTGAGAGCTCTGTCTTAGGGGGCCTGGCTTACTCCTCAGGCTGGAGAAGGAGCACGTGTAACAGGCTCCCTGCTGCTACTGCTGCCATCCTAGAACCCCTGTGAAACCAGCTGGTCTAGGGCTGTCACTGTCCCCCCAGCACTCCAGGGATAGCCACGCTCTCCTCTGAGACCCTTCTGTTCCCTGAGAGCTGCTGGGAGTGTGCCACTGCCCGGGGGGGCTGGGGCAGGGGGTACCAGGAGGAATCTGTGACCTCATGGGGTCACCGAGGCCTCCCTCCTGATGCTCGGTGAGTGGCAGGGACGATCCAGGGAGCACACAGCCGGGGCTTGGACACCTTCAGGCTGGACACACTACCGCCATGAGGATTCCTGCGCATTTGGGCCCTTCCACCTTCCTCCCACTTCGGTCCCTCGCTGGCTCTGCCCCTCCTGGGGGTCTGAAGGAAGTAAGGCCAGGCTTCCAATCCCAAATCTGCCACTTTTGGCTGAGGGACCTTGGGCCCATGCTAACCCCCCTCCAAGTCTTGGTCCCCTGCCCTCCTCACCCAGGATGCCGAGGACCCAGCTTTCCACTGCAGTCGGGGCAGTTGAATGCTTAGGAACCTGAGCCCTGGGGGCCAGGCCTGGCTGCATGACCTCCCAGCTGTGTGACCTCGGCTAAATTACACAACTTCTCTGTGCCTGAGTTTCATTGTCAAGGGGAGTTGCAGCAGCACCTATTCGGCAGTGCTGCCGTGAGAACTTAGCGACCTGGCGCACTGTGGCAGGACTTAGAACCACACAGACCACCCATATCCCCATGCACCAGTGGTAGCTAACTCATGGCCGGGCCCTTGGCGCCAGGCCCATGAGCAAAGGGAGTTAGTCCTCCACCAAAGGAAGGTGCTCTGGGGCATGTCCCTGGGGCAGAACGGGGACATACTGGGCCTTTCGAAACCCTGCACTTGAGCAGTACCTATTCCCCTGGATCTGTCTGCAGACAGAGCAGAACCAGAGAGGTTCCACAAGCCACAGTCCGTGAGGCTCACAGCAAATCCAGCCGGGTCAGGTAGGTGGGACAGGTCACCCCCACATGAGGAATGACACTGTGAGGGGCAGAGAGGAAGCCCTATGCCTGAGAACACCCACAGACCCCACTGTCCTTCCCTGGGGACTCATGTCCTGGGACCAGTGGGGAGGGCAGGTCTAAGCAGGCCCTGCACTACCCACCTCTCTTGGGCATCTTGAAATGTGTGATTTCTCTCTGAGATTTAATAATCATTTTGCCTACGTGTAATTTGGGATTGTCTTGGAGCGCAGGGAAATAATTATATACACAGAGGGGAAGCGAGGGGGAGAGAAAGAACAGAGAGAAGTGGAGCCATAACGTCAGGGGATCGTGGGACCTTAGTCCCAGAGAGGACCAGAGACCCGAGTCCAGCGGTCGCTTCACTTGCTGATGAAAAACAGGCCCAGAGGTGGGACTGGCGAGCCGAGACCAGAAGGCAGAGCCTGACTTCCAGGCGCCATCCGGGTGAGCTCTCCTCCTGAACTCCTGCCCCATCTAGTCTGCCCAAGCCAGCACTTCCAGTCCTGCTCCTGAGCCAGGACTGCCAGGGAGCCTTCTAATTGGCCATCAGGACCCTCGGCTTCCAGCCTTCCGGGCTCTCCAAACTCCCTAGCCTCCCAAACGCCACCCCTCATTAGCCTCCTTTCCAGCAAGCAGCCCCACCCTGCCAGGCCTGCCTCCACCACCCCACACTGCCTCCAGGCCTCCCGGCCTCCCTCCTTTCCTCCTTACTCCACCCTCACGTCCCGCTCTGGGCTGCGGTCACTGTGGTCAGTCTTGGTCCCCCACGAGGGGCTCTCAGAGCACCCTGCTCCTCGACCTGAAGTACTCAACCTGCTCTAGCTCAGAGCAGCTGTTCTAACGGCTGCCTCCCCTCTGGACAGTATGCCCATGTGGCTCGGTCTGCCTGTGGGGCCACAGCCCCTACAGCCCCTGTGGCCCGGGCCCAGGAAGGAGATGGGGCCCAGGGAACCTGCTGGGGCTTCTTCTCTGGAGGAGTCCCAGTACTGCCTGGCCTCAGCCCCCTCTCCAGAGCAAGCGGTTCTGGTTCCCCAAGGTCCGGGGGCCAGACTGAGGACCAGAGAGTCCTAGAACCAATGCCCCCACCCCCACCTCACCTCTCCTGACAAGCTGTTCCTTCCCTCCCTCCCTCCCAGCTCCGGGCAGCTGGTTACATAACTGGGGATTCTGCATTATTTATGACCACTGATTATTTTTTAATTCTGTGATTACGTTATTTATTATCTTCCTGGGGGGCTGTGGAGTTGGGGAGGGGGAGCGTGCTGACTGTGATTCACGGCTCTCATGTAATTTGGCCTAATTGGCCAGGGAGCTTCAGTGAATCTGTCCAGAGAAGGAGAAGGCAAAGGGAAAAGGGAGGAAAGGAAGGCGTGAAAAAAATAAGAAGAAAAAAACCCGCGCGGTTCTGCTGAGCTGCGGGCGATGGAGCTGACCCACTTTGGCTCCGCCTGTGGTCCCCAGCCTCTCCGGCTCTGGCTGCTTCCTGGTGGGGCCACCTCTCTCTCACACTCCTGTGGCCTGTGGCTTTCCTTGCCACCTCTGCACAGGGCACTTGGCCCAAGGGACTGCATGATTAGGCAGCCAGAAAACAGGGTGCCCACTGCAAATTAGGAGCCCCCCAGGCTGCAGAGAGGTTGCGGCCCCCCATCCTCCCCACTGTGCAGGCCAAGGTGGGCATACCCTACCCAAAGCCACTGATGACATGCAGGATACAGGTGGTCACCACAGGGATCGCTTTTGTGTCCCCATGTTGAGTGACATCTTGGGGAAAGGGAGACCAAGCTGGAGAAGGCCCAGCTCCTGCTCAAGGTAAGAGCAACACTGGGGGCCAGGGACGAGGCCTTCACCCATCCGGGGAGCTCTGGCAGGAGGGAGCTGAGGCAGCTGTGGGGAGGCAAATTCCCATCAGGAGATTCCTGGAGAGCATGTGGGATCCGGCAGAGAGCAAGCCGGAATCTACAGGCAGGACCCGCCAGGCTCCCAAGTAGCCTGCCCCTGCGCCCTG